GTGACAGTGAGCTAGGGCCGAAATCTGTAGGGAGTGACCCTGGGTGAGGGGCAACTTTGTGACACTGCAATGACACCTGCCTCTGGTCCTCACAGCCTTGTGTGACCCCCTCCCCTGGAGTGGGGGCTGCACCCGTGACCTCCAGAGGTGACTGCAGGCGGGAGAGGGGGCGGTTCACAGTATCGACATTCAAGGCGAGGAGGACTTGGTGGACCCCTCCCCCACCCCCGGGTCAGCAGTGCAAGGGCTCCCAAATGAAGGGGCACAGGAGAAGCAGCAGCACAGTCCCCCAGTCCCCAGGGAGAACCAGGTTTCCAGTAGAACAAGTTGGGGGGCAGAATATCTGAGGAACGCTCGTGGGGAATCGAGATCTGCTGGTGGCTCACTGCGCTGTCCGAGGGGCCTAGTGGAAGAGACTGAGGAGCCTGGGTGGGGGCAGGAGAGTGTAAGAGCTGAAGTCAGTAGGGGCACCTGGGTGCTCAGTGTCTGACTTCAGCTCAGGTCACGATCTCATGGCTTGTGAGTTCGAGCCCCACGTCGGGCTCACTGCTGTCAGCACACACCCTGCTTCAGATGCTCTGTCCCTCCCTCTGTGCCCCTCCCTTGCTCTCTCTGTCTCTCAAAAATTAAGAACATTAGAGATGAGGTTATAAACTAACATGTACAAACCTGACACAGGATGAGAGTCTAGGAAGTGATGTGCTCAGGAGCCCAGCTGTGGTCACTGAAGTAAGGATAAAAGGCTTCACAGTCTCAAGGTGTGGGGGTGTGGAGGTCATGCGTATAGTAGGGGAAGGAGAGAGACGGTTCTTGCACGGAACCCACAGAGTCCGGGAGCCCCTGTACTTGACTCCATCCTCGCGCCTGCCAGCGGCAGCACGAGGCGGAAAAGGGCAGGCGCCGCCACATGGGGAGGGGGAGGGGGGCGGCCTCGCGGGTTCATGGGGCACGAAGTAGAGGTTACTAATCTTCCTGACCTGCACACCATGCTGTTTTTATCTCCACGTAAAAATTACCTCAAAACATAGGCCTTCAAACAACCTTGATCGTCTGGCATTTTCCCCTGGGCGAGGACTCCAGGCACGTGTAGCTTGTTGGGTCCCCATCTCTGGGTCCCTCCAAGGCTGCGATTAAGGTATTAGCAGATTAAGGTATTAGCAGTGGCTCAAATCCTTTTGCGGCTCAGCTGGGGGTTGGGCCCCTTCCAAGTTCAGTCAAGGAATTGTTGGCAGGACTGAGGACCTCACTGACTTTGGCCAGACGCCCCCTAGCCTCCCTGACACGGTAGCCTCTCCACAGGGCAGCTCCCGCGTGACAGCCAGCTTCATCAGCGAGAGAGAGTGCGAGCTCGCAAGACAAAAGCAGGTCACGGGTGCAGCCCCCACTCCAGGGGAGGGGGTCACACAAGGCTGTGAGGACCAGAGGCAGGTCTCATTGCGGTGTCAGAAAGTTGCCCGTCCCCGAACCAACCGCTTGGACCAGTCAGGCTCTAGCCCCGCCCCGCCCCACCCAGAGCTAGAGTCAGGTCCCCAGATCACAAGGCCACACAGAGTAGCAGGAGGGGCAACGGACAGAGTCAGTACTGGGACAACAGCTACTGCAGTCACTGTAGCCACCAGGCAGAGTCCATGCTTTGATTCTTCTGACGCGGACCTGCCTTCTTTAGTATGTTAGCAAAGGGCCAGCTCTGTGTCCCCGTTGCCCTCGAGATCAAGTCCAGACTCCTTACTGCAGCACACAGGGGTCTGGCCCCAGTTCATCTTTCCAGCCTCGTCTCTCACCGTTTACTCTCATTTCTTCAAAGCCAATGGTTCATCACACTTTTTGGTCTCAGGACCCCCTTAATACTCTTACAAGTAGTTGAGGGTCCCAAAGAGCTTTTGTTACAACCATGGATATTTATTTTATTAGGAATAAAAACAAGTTTTAAAATATTAATTTTGGGGCGCCTGGGTGGCTTAGTCGGTTAAGCATCCGACTTTCGCTTAGGTCATGATCTCGCGGTTCGTGGGTTCGAGCCCCGCGTCGGCCTCTGTGCTGACTGCCAGCTCAGAGCCTGGAGCCTGTTTCAGAGTCCGTGACACCCTCTCTCTCTGACCCTCCCCTGCTCACGCTGTCTCTCTCTCTCCTAGAAATAAATTAAAAAATATTAAAAAAAAAAAAAAAGAGTTGTGCACTCTACCGACAGTAGCTAGGCACCCGACGCTGTTTTACATTTTTAAAAATGTCTTTGTTTGGCTTATTAGAAGACATCAGGGCCTTTACGTGTGCCTCGGTACTCAGTCTCTTGCAATATGTTGTTTTGGTTGAAGTGTAAGGAGATGTGGCCTTACACACACATGTAGTTGAAAGTGGAGATGGCGGGTGAGTATCTTAATAGTTTCTTCGGATCATTGCTAACATTCTTTGGTATTAGACCAGTAGTGGTCATTTCTTAAAGGTTAATTGCAACGTGGAATCTGAACTTTTGGTATTCTGTTAGTTTAAAATCTGGCACTTTGAATAGTTTTTACCCATTTGGAAAATACTGGTTTCCTGAGTTATTTGGGTCTCCCAAATATTTCATTATAAAGTCTTTTTAATCACTTTTTTTAAATATTTATTTTGAGAGAGAGAGAGAGCACGAGTGCGCACACAAGCTGGGAAGCAGCAGAGAGAGCAGGAGAGAGAAAATCCCAAGTAGGCTCCACACTGTCATCGCAGAGCCCGACTCGGGGCTCAAACTCACAAACCATGAGATCATGACCTGAGCCAAAATTGAGAGTTGGATGCTCAACTGACTAAGCCACCCAGGCATCCCCTTTTTAAATATCAAGCGTATCTTGTCAGAAAAATCTTTATTGGGAAATTTCGATCATGGAGGATATAAGTTTTCCAGAATTCTAAGTTTCACTTAACAGCCTGAATGTTATCATTGGCAACAATTACTGCCAATTGTCTTCCTTGAGGTAATAGGCTCGTTTCATTATTGCTGAGAAAGTGTCTGAGTAACCGTAGTTGATCTGCTATCATTTTTTCAAGTGGAAATGGTGTCGCATGGACAGGTCCTGTGACTTCCGCTGTGTTCAGGGTGTCCTCCAGCTTTGCCTCCACCCTGCAGCTGCTTAATGTGCCTCGAATTCAGATGCCTCGAGAGAATCTGATTGAACCAGTCAGCCATTGTGTGAGGGTGGAATGGCACAGAGCGTGGCGGCCAGTGCACAAGGAACCCCTTCTTCCTTCCTTGGAGGAGGCCTCCCGTCTAGTGAACACCCGGAGCTCCTTGCCCAGAATGTACACCCTTATGAGTTATTAGCAGGATTTTTTTTTTTTTTTTTTTTTTTAAAGAGAGAAAGCGTGCACAGATGGGGAGGGGTGGTTGAGAGGGGGAGAGAGAGAATCTTGAGCAGGTTCCATGCTCAGTACAGAGCCAGACACGGGCTCAATCTTACGACCCTGTGATCATGAACTGAGCAGAAATCAAGATTTGGACACTTAAACCAACCGAGCCTCCCAAGCAAGGGATTTTTTGATGCACAGATGTGAATAGAGTGACTATGGTATGGGAAGTTTAAAAAAAATGGATTTATAATTGCTCTTAAGCACTTATTTGACAGCACTTTGTTTAAAGACCAAAAACATTCCCATGTCCTTAAAGTTGTGGTCATATTCTGGTACCACTGCTACTTTGTTTGGGGCGTTAATTATATCCTGAGGCTGCTATGGGACCATCTGTTCCAAAAATGTTCTCCAGTGTGGACTGAGTAGTTGTTTCTCTGAATTTTCTACCAGTGTAAACATAGATTTTACTGCTTTTCACACTGATATTAATAAAAAGACACTGTTAAATAAATTCCTTTGTTAACAGTTTTTCATTGCTTAAAATGGGTGTCCTCCTCCTTCACAAAGGAGGAAAATTCTCCAAAGGCTATGAGTATAATCATACCTGGTATTTTTATTTGTTAATAAATAATTAGGAGTCATTAGTCCCGGCATTTTGCAAGTTCACAGGTTTTAAAGATGATTTTTATTACTCTTTTAAAGTTGGCTTTCTCATGCTGATAGGAACAGAGCGGGCTAAGAGAAATATTTTCTGCCAATATTGAGGTTTAGTGCCTTTTCCTATTTATTGATATATGGTATAACAAACACTGTCGACTTTGGCCATATACTTAAGAACATACCCATGAGTGAGTACTCATATGCTTCAAGCAAGTTCATTCACTTAGTGAAGGAAAACAATGGAAGCAAGGTGGTTTAGGAAAAAATATGGGGGCCTGAGTTCCCTCTTTCATTGATCCCTTGAGAGCATTACTAGGGGGGTTAGTGTGTTTGGGTTAATGATGAAGAAAACAAAAATAGCCTCCCTATGAGGAAATGTAACCTGACACAATTTAAAGTAGGACCCAGACTGAAACATCCTTCTTTTAGGAAGTGGAAATCTGCTGTCACACAGATGTGCCATCTAAATTTTAAAAGAAATCTAGACATCTTTTCTCTGTACATCTTGATCTCGTTAATAACTCTTGTATTTCTTCTAGCTGTATGTCCCAAGTAATTAAGTTATAAATATGATACACAATAATTTGCATACATTCCAAATCCTTTCTAAATTTTAAGCAGCTTACCTTTCTGACACCACAGTCCTCACAAAGATGGATTATCTCAATTTCTCCACTGACTTTACCCCAGCAGTACACACTGTCCTGAGCTGTACCAAGTGCACACTACTGTACTCTGCCCTGCAGACAGCACACAGAGTTTATTGTTTCGTTGCCTTTTATTTTTTTAGAAGACCACTAAGCATGCCCTAGCGCTTCCTCTAGCTTATTGAACTGATAAGTATCAAGCAAAGCCTCACAGGCTAGTCCTGCTAAGTAATATTACTGCTGCAGTACAGATTAAAATCTCAGAAAATCCCACTTATCTACTTTATAGGTATGGATCGCTTTTATTGTTAATATCCTAAGTCATCTAAAGGCTTGTTCTCTTTCTTTGTTGTTTTTTTTTTTTTTTTACAGACCTAACTACCATAATGAATGCTGCATATTAAGAGAAACCACAAGAAGGTTATACATTTGGTTGTCTCATAATCTTGGATTTGATATGAACCAACACATATTCCTTGTTGTCATCGACAGAACCCCAGTTTGTATGTACATTATTCACACTCCTCTCTGTTGTGTTTGGGGGAAAAAAAAGACATTTTAGCCTTTTTTAAGGTTATTGATTTAATTTCATGTTATTTGGTTGCATGAAGTTGCCCTTAACCACTAAGGATTATCAAGATTTTTGCACAAACTGATACATGTCTAGGGTCCTCTTATCAAGGCGGCTGTGCTCCTCTCTCCTGCCTTGACTCCACTATCACCAGATCCTCAGTTAAAGATAAATTAGCATTTTTTTAAAATGACCACTCAGCATAATGCTTAAGGGATCTCCTTTCTGTGACAGAACCCAGGAAGCCGTTCCTAAACACATAATGTTGGCATACTGAAGACAAAATTGAAATTGCCCTTCAGTTTTGAGGCCATGTGTAAAGTTTAACCATATTGTAAAATATCTATTCCGTATTAGAAATAGCTAGTCAGCAGCTTATACTTCTCAAAACTCATGGTTATGTACACAAACTCAGTTTTTATATGTGAAGTTAGTGAGTCTTTTTGTGTTATTCTAAAATAAAGGCAATGATTTATTTTTTCCCAATGCCAATACAATTTGAGCTAATCACTCAAGGTGGATACTTCACAGTTGAAAGCTGGAATCAGCAGTAGCCCTATGGGAAACCAGACATTTTAAATGAACCACTGTTTTCTTTTGAGCTAGAATTAGAATAGTTGATATTCATCCACCAACCATTATCATGTGTACATTATTGTTGCTACTGTGATAATAGAGACTGTATTTATTTTTATGCCACAGCTTCTGCTGCGCGCGCGCCTCCAGTCAGTTTGGGTTTTATCAGTCCTGTTATGCTTGTCCTTGGGCCATCTTTCACGTATTCGAGGTTTGTAGTTGAAAAGTTTACTGTAAAAAAAAAATCAAAAACAAAAAAATGTATTGTTTTTACAGAATAAATTTATTGGAATGTGTACTGGGCGTAAGATTTGAGGTTGTAAACAACTAAGTTAGTGTAATTTGGCTTCATATATGTAATGTGAGGTATTAATGTAATTCGTATATTAAAGCAAAAATTGTTAACGGCAAGTTGACAATAGAATCAAGTGCAGGTGAGGGTTTTTCTTTTTCTTTTTTTGAACACTCTGGGTTTTAGGTTTTTTTTAAATAAACATGGGGGAGGGAGAGGAATGGCTCCACGATCGCTTGCACCTCTCAGATAATATTACCCAGTTCAGTGGACCCTGAATGAGCGCACTTGCCATTATCCATGCGTTTTCTTATTTTGGACCCTGTTGTCTTATTTTGGTGAAGGGCTAATAAAGAACATGAAGAGAAAATGTGGGAAGTTCTAAGAGCACAGGGCCCCTGGCGATGGGGGGAGGGGGGGTGGTGACGAGTATGGCGGCCAGGGGCTATGGAGGCACCAGTCTGCTTACCCCTCTAAGGCACTGAGAAGGCGGCTGTGTTTCTGCTGTGTTTCTCTCATTTAGCAAATTGTAATTTTTTTCTGTACTCAAATTCCAGATATGAAAAGTTCACTAAAAGCTAATAGGAATGCCAATCCAGTTCTTTTCCCTCGAAAAGTACTTTTCAATTTTGAATACTTTTATTTTAAATTAGTGAAATGTAATCAGTTCATCAAAAGTCCTCTTCATTCCTCACACTAAAACAGAAGGAGAATGTAGATGACATTTTGAATTGGAACATGTAACTGACAGATTTTTAGAATAAAAATCCTAAAGACTACAAAACTGTTTCTGGGGGAAAAAAATACAAAATTTTTCAAATTTATTAAGATTTGTTTTCATAAAAGGCCAAAAATAATTTATTAAAAATATACACAGAAATACAATAGAAATATTTCCAGTCACCAATAAAACAAGTATTCATTAAGGATGATTATAAAGTTACCGATCCCTCCTTAGCTATTTAGACTCACAAAAAAAAAAAAAATTTTTTTTATTAAAAGCAGTGTTAAAAACAGCAGTAAATAATATCCCTTCCTTGGGAAAACATTTTTCAAATAACATCTTAAAATACTGTGATAATTTGCTTTTTATACTGAGGTTGATAATGACACATACAGGTCTTATATGCAAGAAGTATTTCTCCAGTATGTATTTGCTGTTCTTAATTCCTGAATATGCATAGGCCGTATTCACTTTTGAATAGTTTCATTTTCCCACTCACACTGTAGGAGCTAAACTGTATATAGTTACAGTTATATTTAATATGTGCAAACAGAATATCGAAATAGATGGCCACGTTACTCACAAATAATTTGTGAACAGATTTCTTTAAACTCTTTCTCAACTTCATTTATCCTTCAAAAAGAGAAAATTTCCCCGCACAGCTAGACCCTGTGAAGCTCACACGTACCGTGCGGGGCCAGAATGTCGGGATTCTTAGTATCCCTGTGTGGGAAGGGAGTGAAATGGGACCGAAGGTCAGTACCAGGAATAAAAGTCCGTAATCTAGAGAGGAAGAAATAATAGTTTTATTCAACTTTTTCATCTGCCTTCGTTTTTATAAAGAACTCTGGTTTGTAGATACAACGATAGGCCAGGAGCTGAGGAAGAACTCCGTAGGCTACGTTTAATGCTAGAAAAAGGCTTTTCGCTTCTTCAGGGACTCGGTAGACATAAGCGGTTCTAGCGTGAAGAGAAGCACCGATGTGAGAAAACTGAGCCTGTTGCATTTAAAAAAAAAAGGGAGGGGGGAGGTCAGCATGAGTTCTGCGTTCGGCTAGATTCACAATGTGTTCTGGATGAGTCATTCAGACCATGTTTCCTGTGCCCTCAAAACCAGGGCTTACAAACAATTCACAGTCTTGAGATTTTGCTGGATTTAGGGCCAGTTTTAACACGATTCGATTCAAATAAAGTACACCTTCCTTAGCTCGGCTGGATCACACCATGCAGTGTCCCTTACCAAACAGCAGTGCTCAATTTAAAAGAAAAATTGAGCAAAACCTCTCTGTTTTTTGGGTTGTTTTTTTTTCCTGATTTGCATTCTGAGATCCTAACACTCATACTCTGTTGTGGCTCAATAAGCGTGTTCGGTAAAAGTGAAGGAAGTACAGAGTTTAGGAAGCATAAGTGTTTTTCTATGGCTGTTTAAAGTGAAGCACTGAGAACCTCAGCTTCCTTAGTCAGCCTTTCACCTCCTCCTGGGAACGAGAGCCCATAGCCCTTCTTTATGTGTTTTTTTGTTTCTTTCTTCACATATTTGTTGTTTATGCAACTTTAAAACTACTGAGGGTTGTTTCATAAGTACGGTTGTTACCAACTTGGTGGGGGTGGGGGAGTAGGATTATGGCGGCTCTTTATAAAATTGCAAATGTCCAGGCAGGCGACCTCAAATCAAATTCTCATTTATTTAGTACAGCTTGTCACCACAGCCTGAGCCCAGAGTCTCCCACGTGCACTTAAGCGCTTGTCCGTAACGTACATTCGGAATCTGTCCTGTCTGGTACGCCTCCTGGGCACAGGGGGAGACTATTAGGAAAGGCTCCTGGGTGAGGATTTCCTCAGTGTCCCCAGGTCCTGACAGGACGCAGCCCTGCAGTGCGTGTTTCAGATCTCCCTGAAACCCACGCTGCACGTGAAGAAAGGACTGGAAATCTAAATTTAAGCCGTGACGAATTATTAGTTCATCGGGATCAAAGTTGAAAGAAGTCACAGAATAACAAGAATGAAAAACTAACTCGCTTTAAATACAAACAAAGCTATCTTACATTTCCTTCCCTATGAAAATCAGTTTATTCTGCGACGTGGTGAAGACGAAACTCGCCTTTTCCACGACACCTACGGGACGAGCTCTCGTGAGCCGCACTCGTATGCGTTTGTAGCCATTGCGGGTGTTTTCACAGGTGACGTTTGTACAGACTGCTGCCGCGCTGGGCACCTCTGGTGCAGGTTTGCTACTCTCGGGAGGTAAGAAATCAGTGTGGCATGTTGCCAAGACGCAACACGTACCCGGTCTGTGCGGCCCAGCAAGGGCTCTGCCCCCTCATGCGCCCCCCGGGGCAGGTGCCCGAGCAGAGCCCGGCAGGTGTGAGGCACCCCAGCTCCGGGCTCTGAACACCAGGTCCTGGAGAGTCCAGGGCGTCGGAGAGGCTGCCCTGCGGGGCTGCTCCCGCCCCATCCCAGGAGCGCGGAGCCAGAGCGAGGCCCCGTCCTTAATCCTAGTTCTCCCTAGAGCCTCTTTTCAACAACAGTGATTTTCTGAATTAATATAACCAAACTTTTGGACTAGACGCCAGACTTGAACCTTGATTTTCAAGAATCGTGGGTTTGATGTCTCTACAGACACGTACACATCACAAAAGTCCCCAAGTTGGGGGAAACGCCAACCATCCTTTGAGAAAGGAAGTAGTGTGAGCAGTCACGCCTACTTGCACAGCGGAACCTGCACCAAAAGTCAGTGAGTCCGTCCGTCCGTCCGTCCATCCGCTCCCTTCCTGCGCTGACCAGTGCAGCTAATACCTCATTTTCCAAAACAGCAAAAATCACGGCAACATGACAAAATGGTCCTGTCCTAGAGTAGACTGTAAGCCCACCGGGCAGGCACTGTGTGTAATGCTTTATGTGGCGCCTCTCGCACTGTTAGAGCTCAATAAACGTTCATCACTAATGGTCTTGTGACTGTCACAATGCAAAGAGCTTCTGCAAAGCATTTCTCTATTTTTATACCTGTTTCGGTAGGCCTTCCTCCTCCAGCACCATTTCACCAGGGGACGGGTCCACATCTCTAAAGCATGGAGCTGTGTGCACCCAAGAGAAGCTTCAGGCCAGTGTCGTGGGCTTTCAGGCACTGCCTGCACTTGTAATGGGTGTGGCGCTGGCGGCCACGCCTCCCCCCAGTGCGCACCCAACCACAGCTTCCTCTCCACCGAGCGGTGGCCAGTGCCCCGGGTTCTGGAGTTTCAGAAAAACCTCCGCTCCCCTGAGGAGTTTCCTTCCCACACAAGGGGCTGCTAAGAGCCTGCACAGGGTCTCGTGGGTGATGTTCCTGCCAGCACCCAAGGCCTCCAGACGCCAGGGCTCCAAGCTCAGCCGGGCACCTGGTGCTGGGTCAGTGGCTCAGTGCTGCTGAACTGTCACCCAGGATGACAGGTACAACTTGTAGGGCCCAGAAATTTTTGTAGAGTCCAGTGATGTGAGGTTGAGCCCCTCATCATTTTTCTTATTCTAAATCTGTTTTCACCTCAAACAAATTTAAAAGATACACTTTGATTGTTTTTTAAAGACATGGATGACTGGAATGGAAAATGAGGCAATAAAGGCAAAGATCGGTTACATTTTAATAGCTCTCTTTTCTTATATTTATAGAGACAACCTGGAAAGGATGCCTAAAAATCACAATCTCGGTTCCAGAGGAAGAGCTGAAAGAGTATTATGTGTCCACATAAGTATCACAGGCCAAAACTAATGTGAACATTGGGACAGCGGCCAGGCTACTGGGCCAGTACAGGCCGATACGGCTAATCCAGAACTCTGTTATTTTTTAGGGTGTTCTGAGCAGCACAGTCCCGTGGTTAAGGACACTGAATCTGGAACCATACTGAGTGTCCAGCCCCAGCTCTACCACAACCCAGCAGCATGACCTTGGGTTAGGTACGTAACCTCTCTGGCTTCCTCATCTGTAACAGCAGGATGATGGCAGCACATTGCTGGGCTGGGGCAATGAGGTGACCTTTGTGAGGTGCTTAGGACGTGCGTAGCAAGTAAATTACCTGTCCCTGACCTGGCATTCTCCTTCACTGCGAGCTCAGGTGGGCTCTTCGTTTTCAGACCCCCTTGCTGGCCTTCTGACCATTTCAGGACTGTCTCTACCAAAAGATAATCATGTGAAGATTTTAAACCCAAAGCCTGACCTCAGTACTAATTAAAGATGTATCGTGATGAATTACACTAGAAGCAAATTATTAAAATAGGATTTGCATTAGTATCCCAGCTCTCCACCTTCTCCCTAGATCTCTCAGATGTATCCTAAAAGTTTCCGTAAAGAAAAACATACCATAAAATTCACCTCCAGCAGTCAGCTCTACAACCAAACTGTCCACAGATAAGCTTCTGGACCCTCGTGCGAGGAAGTCCAC